AATTAAAAATAAATATAATTGTTTAAAAGAAGAAGTACTTAGGCATAATTCTAATAAGACATATACAATATATGAACTTGTAAAACTACTGATGAAGGAAATCAAAGGAAATGTAAATAAATGGAGACATACCATATTCATGGATTGGAAGAGTCAACATAGTAAAGATGTCAGGTCTCCCCAGATGGATATACAGATTTAATGCAACGCATATAAAAATCTCAGAAAGATATTTTGTAGGTATAAACAAGGCTATTGTAAAATTTATAAAGGCAAAGGAACTAGATTAGCAGAAACAATTTTGAAAAAAAATAAAGTGGGGGGATGTCTACTTGCTTTCAAGACTTACTATATAGCTATAGTAATCAAGACTGTGTGATATTGGTGGAGGGATAAATAGATCAATGGAACACAGTAGAGAACCCAGCAATAGGCCTACATAAATAGTCCCAGCTGATTTTTGACAAAACAAAAAAGAGGAAGCTTTTTTTTTTGGAGATAGAGTCCTGCTCTGTCACCCAGGCTGGAGTGCAGTGGCATGACCTCAGCTCACTGCAACCTCCACCTCCCCAGTTCAAGCAGTTCTCCTGCCTCAGCCTCCCAAGTAGCTGGGACTACAGGCGTGCACCACCATGCCCAGCTAATTTTTTGTATTTTTAGTAGAGACAGGGTTTCACCGTGTTAGCCAGGATGGTCTCGATCTCCTGACTTCATGATCCGCCCACCTTGGCTTCCCAAAGTGCTGGGATTTATAGGCGTGAGCCACCGCGGCCAGCCAAAAGGAAGCCTTTTTAAAACAAATGGTGCTGTAACAACTGGACATCCATATGCAAACAACAACAAAATCCTCAGCCTAAACCTTATACTTTATATAAAAAAAATTAGCTCAAAATGGATCATAGACTTAAGTGTTAAACGTGAAACTTAAAAACTGTTAGGAAAAGAAACTTAGGGAAAAAAATCTTAAATATAGAACTAGGTAGAGTTCTTAGACTTGACACCAAAACTTGATCCATAAAAGACAAAATTATTAAATCGGACTTCATCAAAATTTTTCTTTGTGAAAGATCCTGTTAAGATGAAGAAAAGACACGCTACAGAGGAGAGAACATCTGCAAAGCACATCTCCGACAAAGGACTAGTAGCTACAATATGTAACAAACGCTCAGAACTCAGCAAGTAAAAACCAAACAGTCCAACAAGAAAATGGGCCAAAGATGTGATGAGACATTTCAGGGAAGAGAATATAAAGATGTGCATATAAGCACATGAAAAGACTCAACATCATTCGCCAACAGGGAAATACAAATTAAAACCACAATAAGATGTCACTTCATGCTTGTCAGTTTGGCCACATTAAAAAAGTGACACCACCAAACGCTAGTAAGGAGGCAAAGAAACTGGTACGCCTACGTTGCTGGTGGGAATGTGAAATGGTACAGTCTAGAACAGGGGCCCCCAACTCCAGGCCGCGGACCAGTACTGATCTGTAAAAATTACTGGTCCGCAGTCTGTTAGGTTACACAGCAGGAGGGGAGTGGCAGGCAATAAGCAAAGCTTCTGTATTTACAGCCACTCCCTATTGCTTGTATTACTGCCTGAGCTCCGCCTCCTGTCAGATCAGCCTGGGCATTAGAATCTCATAGGAGCGCGAACCCTGCTGTGAACTGTGTATGCGAGGGATCCAGGTTGCACACTCATTAGAATCTAATGCCTGATAATGTGAGGTGGGGCAGTTTCATCCCAAAACCATCTCCCACTCCTTCACCATCCATGGAAAAACTGTCTTCCACAAAACTGGTCCCTGGCGCCAAAAAGGCTGGGGACCACCGGTCTAGAAAGCAGTTGGCCGCACCTTAAAAAATGTAACATGTGACTACAATATGATCTTCCAATTGTCTTATCCCAGAGAAATGAAAACCTATGTTCATACGAAAATATGTACAATGACTGTTCATGCAAACTATTTCTTAACAACCCAAAGCTAAAAAACGCCTCAGATGTCCTTCAGTGGGTGAATGGTTCAGTTGTGGTACGTCGACACTGTGAACTGGTACTCAGTAATAAAAAGAAAAAAAAGCTCTTGATACAACAATCTGGATTTTCAGATAATTATGCTAGGAGAAAACACCTATTTCAAAAGGCTGCATACGGTATGATTTCATTTAAATAACATTTTCAACACGCCGACGTTATAGAAATGGAGCACATGTAAGTGGTTGGCAGGGGTTAAAGAAGGGTGTGGTGGCAGAAGGGAAGTGTGGCCATAACAGGGCAACGGGAGGGTCCTGCTGGTGGTGGAAATATTCTGCATCTTGACGGTGTTAGTGACAGTATCCTGGTTGTGATAATGTATGATCGTGTGTATTATCACAGGTAAAGGGTACGTTTCTTTCTTTCTTTTTTTTTTTGAGATGGAGTTTTACTCTTGTTGCCCAGGCTGGAGTACAGTGGCGTGATCTCAGCTCACCGCAACCTCCGCCTCCTGGGTTCAAGCGATTCTCCTGCCTCCGCCTCCCGAGTAGCTGGAATTACAGCATGTGCCACCACGCCCAGCGAATTTTTTGTATTTTTAGTAGGGACAGAGTTTCTCCATGTTGGTCAGGCTGGTCTCCCAACCTCAGGTGATCTGCCCGCCTCGGTCTCCCAAAGTGCTGGGATTTCAGGTGTGAGCCACCGTGCCCAGCCTAAGGGTACATTTCATAACAATTGGATGTGAATCTACAATGGCTTCAAAATAAAAGGTACAACCTACTTTTAAAAAGTACGTAATATATGATTTTACTTAAAAGGCAAACATATCTATGAATGATAGAAATCAGAAGAGTGATTGATTACCTCGGGAGGGAGAGATTGACTGGGAAGGGGTGAGACAGACCTTCCTGGGGGGGATAATGGATAACAGAAACGTTCTATAGTTTGCTTTGGGTGGCGATCACAGGTATATACATGTATAAACATTTATTGACTTACGTAATTTTCTGTAAGTTAAATCTCACATAAATAAATATAATATGGAGAATCGATCAGTTCCAAGAATTACTCCTTTCTTTACAATTGTCTCGAAAATGTACAGGAGAAAGGACCTCTCCTTCCAGTGGTCTAAGATGGTCTAATATTTGTAGATATGAACAAGGCTATTCCAAAATTTATGAAGGCAAAGGAACTAGATTAGCAGAAACAATTTGGAAAACAAAAACAAAAACAAAAACAAAGTGGGGGTAGGTCTACTTGCTTTCAAGACTTACTGTGTAGCTACAGTAAGCAAAGACCTCATCTAATAGATTATTGCTTACTATGAGGTTCATAATTCTGCTAAAACATTGATTTCCCCCTACTTGTTAGGGCTAAAGAGAATCCGAGTTTTTAAAAGATTACAGTAACTTGCAGAATGAAAAACACCTTGGTATTTGAGAAAAAAAATCCAGTGATCATGACAGACCAAACGCCTGAGGCTCTTTCACTGGGCACAGTGAGCTCTGCTAATCTTACAGGCAGAACCACTCCATTCAGCAACTGTCCCATTTAAAGGACACCACCACATACCCCTCGCCTCCTTTGTGTTGCTCAGAAGGTGTGGCACTGTGGTGGGCCAGGCAACTCCCCCTGGGGCAGGATGCTGTGCTGGGCAGGTGGTAGATTAGAACCAACCTTGAATTTCCGCCCCCTCCAGAGCCCACTGAGCCATGGGTACTGCTGGGACTTGGGCGGGCACACACCTCAGGGAGTTAGCTTCCCATGTCCTGACTTAGAGACTGCACAAGTGTCCTTTCACATCAGCCTTCTATTCAGGATTTCCGCAAACAGATGAGAAAGAATACTTGTTCTTCATGGTGTGTTGAACAATAAAAGTCGTCAGCCCAGAAGGAAAGCCAGAAAGAATCAAGAGAGAAGATATGGTCATTGGAAAAAATAAGCTACTGTCAGCAGCCCGGCTGGCAGAGCCGGGGAAGCCACTTGGCTGCAAGTCCCCCGGACTGGGTGGGCTCAGGGCCGAGGTCGAGGCACCACTGGGGAACCTTCTCCTAGCTGCAGGATCTTTGTTCTTAACCAAATGAAACGGTTTCATTTTCTTCAATCTATCTGGACGTTACCTTTGCTTTTCTGAGGCCAGGATGGACGAGCTCTTCCCTCAGTCTAATTCTGAGTTCATCAGGCGACAGGGTGCCTTAGCTATTCTAACCAGGACAAGCAAGCTACAGCCTCGCTTATTCTAACCAGGACAAGCTACAGCCTCGCTTATTCTAACCAGGACAAGCAAGCTACAGCCTCGCTTATTCTAACCAGGACAAGCAAGCTACAGCCTCGCTTATTCTAACCAGGACAAGCAAGCTACAGCCTCGCTTATTCTAACCAGGACAAGCAAGCTACAGCGTCGCTTATTCTAACCAGGACAAGCAAGCTACAGCCTCGCTTATTCTAACCAGGACAAGCTACAGCCTCGCTTATTCTAACCAGGACAAGCAAGCTACAGCGTCGCTTATTCTAACCAGGACAAGCAAGCTACAGCGTCGCTTATTCTAACCAGGACAAGCTACAGCCTCGCTTATTCTAACCAGGACAAGCAAGCTACAGCGTCGCTTATTCTAACCAGGACAAGCTACAGCCTCGCTTATTCTAACCAGGACAAGCAAGCTACAGCCTCGCTTATTCTAACCAGGACAAGCTACAGCCTCGCTTATTCTAACCAGGACAAGCTACAGCCTCGCTTATTCTAACCAGGACAAGCTACAGCCTCGCTTATTCTAACCAGGACAAGCTACGGCCTCGCTGTGCACAGGCAGTCGACATTCTGGCGCATACCAGGGTCTCGAGTGTGGCGTCTGAACCAGTCTGCAGGAGGCTGAGCGACTCCCATTTCTCAGTGTGTACAGAGGCTTCTCAATCCAGTACATTCTGCCACCTCCCACCATGAGAAGCCTCTGCGCCAGTCTCTCCCTCAGCCATCTGTCTTTCCGATTCCACAGTGACCACTTTAAATAAAAAGCCTAACACAAAAATCAGGCAAATATGTTTAATTTTTTAAAATAACTGATGGCAAAATAAAATATTTACATCACATCATACTGTGTAAACATGTAAGGTCTCTGTACAAAGAAATATACATGCAAAATAATGTAAAAATTTAACTGAAATAATAAAAGAAACAATACACAAATAAAAATCATGAGGTTACGAATACACATCCAGTTTTGAATCCAATTTCTTTTAAAAAGTTTCTGTACAATTTTACAAGAACCAACAAAAACCCAACAAAAGAATAAATAAAATACATTGGAAGCTGCAAAGCTTAACTACGCCAGTTTATGGCTCAAGACCCAGGTGTCTGGCTGGCTTGGGAAATGGGCTGGTCTCTTTTGTAGTGCAGTTCACACGAGAAAGATAAAAAGACATCCAGAAAACCTCAAGGGTGCCCAGAAACCCAGCCTCCTTGAGTTGAAAGGACTCCCCACGCCAGTGCGAATGCTGCCACAGTGACTCGGGCATTGGGTACCAGCCGCAGGGCGGCCAGTGCTTAATCGGCTTTTATTTCTTACCAAAAGCTCAAAACCCAGCCAATTTTTGTACAGAAAGTTGAAAGTCAAAAAGTCTAAAAAGTAGTAAATGTCCAGACTGATTTTGGGAAAAAAAATAATACTTTGGCATTCTGAATAATAGCATAATAAATTTTAAAACATTACCCTATTATCCAGTTTTATATTCAGAGTATGAAATCACTTTTTACAGTCCTCAAAACCAACAAGTTTCACGAAAAGTCTCCTTGAACCGATGGCACAGGGCTACGACCCTACCCACCCACCCGCCAACCCCAACACACACACAAAACCATAAAGCTCACCATACGAAGTATGTGCTTTTTCTATATATTTATTACAGGTACAACAGAGGTCTTCATAAATAGTTGCATAAAATGTTAAAGCCACAACATTGCACATGATATGAAGTAAAACCAAAAAACCCCCAATGAGTGCATTTACAGTATTTTCATCTGACTGTGTACTGCTCAACAATCTGATTGACGGCTTGGGGCAGGAACAGGGGGAGGGGCAGTGGGGCAGGACCCAACCTGATGTCTTCATTTGCTGGGCATACCCTCGGACCCCCAGAGGAAGCCCCAGGCGGTGGGTGGGGGGTGGGGAGGGGAGGCAGGTGGGAAAACCACAGACCGAAGGCAGGAACAGTCTTATATACAAGTAAGGCCTACATTTCATCAGAGCAAAACGATTCATTCTATTTTATGCAAAAGTTTGAGGTTGAATGCACGTTTCAGAAGCCACGTCTGGTGTGAGACGCACACAGACGAGGCGCCTGGAGAAGCTCAGAGCCGAGTGGACTCTGAGCCCTAGACAAGGCCGTGGGAGTGGCCGCCACCTGGGTGCGTCTTCCCCAGAGACGCACAGTATCTTTGTTCGTTAACACCAGTGGTTGAACATAGGCATTTTGTTTCCTTGAATAAATCTTGAAAACGTTAAATTTGCAAAATTCTATTCATGTTTGTTTAAAAAAGTATCTTTTTATTTTTTGCAGAAACCTGAATAAAATACTGTGATACAGCAATGCGACCTCTGCCTTGGGCAGAGTGTAAGTGACGGTCCTCCACCCCAGCGCAGCTTGCAGCTCTGTGTCCAAGCACTGCTGAGCACAGCCCACTTGGAATGCAATTTCACACGATGAACATACCGGCAGCTGATCAGTTATATTTGCTTGTTTTTCTCTTGAAAATTCAGATTAACAGCTGATTGGCAGGTGAAAGAGAATGAGAAAGAACTTCTGGATAGGTCAAACTCTAGGCAGAAGCCTGCTCTGCAGAAAGTTTTTAATGCTACGGATAGGTCGAACATCATTCTGGTGTTTGCGCCGCTCAATGAAGGAAGTCAGTCTGGACGTGTCGAGGACGCCCGTGCTTCTGCCGTTGCCCGCCTGCAGCCACTGCTCCTGGAGGGCCAGCGCAGCCGAGGGACGCTTGGCGGGGTCCTCCTGCAGGAGGAAGCACACGAACTCCTTGGCCTTCTGGCTCACTCCTTTAAAGTAGTCATCTGGGAAGCTAAAGTCTAAGCGGCAAATGTTCAGGCAGGTCTCTTCCACACTGTCGTCCAGGAAGGGGGACACGCCACTAAGAAGTACGTATGTGAGCACTCCAACACTCCACGTATCTGAGGTCAGGGAGACAGGGTTCCCGAGGATGATTTCAGGGGCTGCGAATTCAGGGTTCCCCAGTAACTGGTGGATGTAGTAGGTCGTGTTGAGTTGAACAGCATCTCCAAAGTCAGCCAGTTTGATGGTTGGCTTGGCTAAACTCTCATCCACTAAGATATTCTCAGGCTGGAAGACAGAATACAACTGTCATTTTCAGACCAGTCCAATCTTAAGCTTACTCATGATGATGGGCGGGACTCTACGGTGAGGTGGAAGGAATCTATGATGTCAACTAGGACAAGCCATGCATGTGCAAAGCAGGCCGGACCCTCAGCTGCCTGCCCAGGGTGAGGAGGAAGAGACGGCCCAGAGGAGCTGGGACCCAGGTTCACAGAGCAGCTCTCTCTGGCGATCTAAGGGCCAAGTAGCCTATTGAAACCAGGCTGCTTTCTGAAGCTGGCTGTTCATTTTCCTCCCAGCACCGAAGGGAATACTCTCTTTCCTGCCTAAGCTACCACTGCACCCGCCACACCCACCAGGCAACACTCATGGGGACTTTCTGAAAGTCGTGGAAGGCTGGGAGGGCTCCAGTGTTTTACCCAGTGTACTCTTGACTGTGTGCATCACTGAACGCAAACGCTTAGAAACAGAGATGAGCAACCAGTGCTAATCAGCTGCCCCTGCTACCCTTTTTGTCCCTAGTCGCTCGGGCACTCCTGGCCTGGCTTCAGAGCGGGCTCTGTGTCCCACATGGCCAAGCCGGTGTGCTCGGACCCCCCTTCACCTGCCCGGGGCCTCACCAACCTTTAGGTCCAGGTGTGCTATCCTGCAGTTGTGCAGGTACCGGACAGCTTCCAGAACCTCCCCCAGGTGCGCCCTGATCTTGCCTTCGGTGAGGCTTCCCCATCGCACCACGCAGTCCAGGAGGCGACCCTGGTCGGCCCTACAGAGGCAGGAACGGGTGACTGTTACGACGTGCTTTCCTTTCCAGACCTCTTCGGGCTAGTAAGAAGTAAACATGTCAGATCTGTCACCTGTTATGAATGTGTCATCAGGATCTCAGGGCTGTGCCTCTAAGGTGTGCCCAGACAAGGAGGGGATTTTTGTGAAGCTCTGATGGGAAGACACGAGTGGGGAACATGGTGTCTCCATCTTAAGAGGGAAGCCAGGGGTAGAGCGGCCCAGTCAAGGGTCCAAACCCGCCTGTTGCGGGGGATGGCGTGGCCTGGCTGCCGGCAGTGCCAGGCACAGCAGGCATCCTGTGGTATCTGCTGAAGGAAGGCATGTAGACCATGCTTCTCGGAGCTGTAGTTTCCTCACCTGTCAAATGGGCCACGGGAAGACTCACTGAGATCACGTAACCACAGGCTGGGCAGGAGGTGGCCCAGTCAGTGCTCAGCGTTGGACTCAGAAGGCTTCCTCCTCTGAAATTACTGTTCGTGCTAAAAAAACACTTCCCCAGCACTGCCAAGTGCCAGGGGCTCAACGCCTTCTAACAACTCATTTAATCCTTATGACTGTCTGTGAAGTGGGCCTTGCTGTACCCATGTGACACATGAGGAAACTCAGGCACAGAGAAAGCATGAAACTTGCCCAAAGTCCACCGCTCCAGGGTGGAGAAGCCAGGACTGGACTGAGGTGGTCTGGCCCCGCCTCTCTCAACACCGGCCTATGCTGCTCTTTGCAAAACAGAAATCTGTAGGAAGATCAGCTGCCTGTCTAGCAATGGGGAGTAGCCTGTGAGAACTGGAGTAATGTGTCATGAAAACAGATCCTATGAACAGGATGGTGAGGCCAAACCATGTTGTTTCCCAGAAATGACGGCTGAAAGCACTGAAATGTCAGTCCAGAAACGAAGGCCTTGTAGATTGATGACAAGCACTCAAGCCACAGTCTTGTTAAAACTCCCCGGGGAAGGTGAGCAGTGGCTGTTGGTCACCAGCGTCTGGAGCCAGAGAGGAGACCTCCCAGGTCCCGAGGCTCCCAGGCCAGGCCTCGGCTTGGACGTCAGCTCTTCCACACACGTTGCACCATGTCGGCCCCATGCCAACCCTCCGAAGCCAATGCCGCTTTTAAGGATACCCAGGGTGAGAAATGAGCCGATGGGAGGGAGGGCGGGGACTGAGGCCCGGCCCAGGCCCGTGGACCTCCTCTCCGTACACATTGCTCAGGCTCAGGTGCGCCCCACCGTCTGCCCTTCTGCCACGAGATGTGTTTTCTATTCTTGGGAGAGGGGCTGGAAGCAGGTCCCCATCCCCGTGTTCTGGGGGAGGTTTTAGCTGTGCAGCCATGGGTGGGAGGCCTTCCTGAGACATCCAGTGTCACCCACGGCACACGCGCTGCCCGAGGAAGCTGGTAAGGCTGCATGTGGGGCCACACGGGACCCTGTGGCAGCCTTGCCCTAGGAAGGGTATGGGGAGGCATTCATAATTTCTTTAAGAAAAAAATGACAATAACTACAACATCAGGTACAGGGCCTGGAGGGAGCTCCTGCAGGCGAGGGGCCCCGAGCTGGAGTCCGCCCCTGCATGACCCCATGGGGGTGCCCCGCTAATTCTGTCCTTCCACTGAAGAGCTACGCAAACTTTCCAAACAGCGGCAAAAGGTTTTACCCTTCCCCGTGGAAAAGAAGTTGCAAATGAAAGTAAACGTATAAAATGACTCCCCCTAAAAAGGAGGAGTCGACATTTTTCAAAACTAAATGCACAGACGTTTGGGGCGGATGAATCTGTGGGGGTCGTCCCTGCCTTGTAGGAGGTTGGGCGGCATCCCTGGCCTCCGGCCACTCCCTGCCAGACGCACCCCCAGCTTGAGCTCTCCTGACATTTCCATGCGAACCCACACCTACATGAGAACAGCTCCTGAGGGACACAGGTTTCCAACTTTTCTTTACGTGACTGAATCATTTTCTGATCTTATGAAGGAGCCCAGTAAGTACAACGGTGCCAGTGGGGCAGCTCTGGTTGGTGTGCCCGCGCCCCCTCTGTGGAGGACATTCTGCAGGGAGGTGCGTCTTACCCTCCCATCCAGCTGGCCTGCCCTTGGCAGGAGGCCTGAGGGGCAGCGCTGATCCGGGGTGAGCTGCCCCTGCACAGGCTAGGGGTATCAGGTCAGCCTCCAACCACGAATGGGGGCTTGGGTCAGCACCAGAGACAGCCTGGCCTCACGGGACCTTCAGAAATGGGAGGGCGTCTCCGGGCGGCTGAGTGTGTCGGGCGTTCCACCCTAGGGGTGACTGTCCTTCATCAGGCAGCTGCCCCGTGAAGACCACACTGCTTTCTGCCATTACTGGAAGGCTCAAAAGCTGTGGGCTGTGACAGTGAAGATGTTTTTTAGTTCTGTACATTCTAAAAGCCCAATATCTATCCCTCTTAGAGAACAAACGGCAACAACAAAACCCTAAGGCGGCGGCAGAGAGCTGGGGGCGGAAGGCCAGGTGTGTACGCACATTTCTAAGACCAGGACGTAGCTGGTGGGGGTCTCGAAGGTGTCGAGGAGGCCGACGAGCAGGGGATGCTGGAGGCTCTGCAGGATGCCAAGCTCATGGGTGACCTGGTCGCGCTTCATCAACTTCTTGTTCACAAACTTAGCAGCCACTGCTCGCTTGGTTCCTTTCTGATCACATTTCTTAACGACAGAGAATCTGCCCCTGTAAAATATGTCAAGAAGACCATTTGCAGAGGCTGCTGAGGTCTGGCACCGAGACTCACTCTGTTATCCTAAATGGACTGGCTGTGTGGTGGCCCGGTCCTGTCCAGAGGCCCTGCTCTCCTGGCCACTCCACGGAGGAGCTGTGGTGCCATGGCCATCCCCCAAATCTGCCCTTGTCCCCGCAGCCACGCGATTCTGCTGGTCCTCCCTCCCAGGCAGCCTTGGTTTCCTCACATTGGTGGCTGCTTCCCAGCACCGCGTGTGGTAGAAGTGACAGGGCAAGACCTCTGACCCTCGGCCTTGCCAGGTGGCTCCCCTCTGCTCCCCACAACGTGCAGAAGCCAGGATGTCTGCTCACGCCTCCCTCAGCCACCCTTCCCTGCACGTGTGAAAGGAGCGTCTGCTGTGGTCACTGCCTCAGCCTCGCCCCTGTGGGTGTGAGTGTGGGGCAGGCACGAAGACCCTGGAGCTGCACCTGATGACCCACTTCCAGGGACTGGTCACACCTCAACGTGATCTGGATGAGGCTTTGGACCTCAGATGGGGGCCTGAGGTGGGTGAGTGCATTCTGCACGCGTGAGGACCAGGGATGCGCCTGTGGTGGGCAGGCTGTGCACAGGGTTAAAGGCCACGGCTTTGACACGTCTCTCACTCGGAGGCGGGGGCTGTTCCTCCCCTTGAATCAGGGCTGCCTGGGGCTGGCTCTGGCCCACAGGGTGTGGAGGACGTTGGTCGCTGATTTCTGAGGCTCAGCCTTCAGAGGCCTTGACGCTCCTGCTGTTCTGGAATGCCACTGCCCTCACGTGGGGAGGCCCAGGGTGAAAGTCGATGTGGAGAGAGGCCAGTGTCGCAGACAAGGCCTCTGACACGCACGGGGCATGGTGCACCAGCTGACCAGGCCAGGAGGGGCCAACAGAATAACGGCCCCATCTGCACACCGCACCAGAAGACACACGTCACCACTGTCCTAAGACAGCATGTTGGTGTGACTTTTTATGCAGCCAGAGACAGCTGACAGAGACATCAGCAGGAGCCATGTGACCAGTTACGGCCTCAGGAATGGAAGCCAGAGGGCGCCGCTGCTGGAGTTTCTGGGGGAGTTCTTACAAAAGGACGAAGGAAAGCGGTCATGCTCCGTTGACCCTGCTCTTCCTGCCACATGGGACACAGCACCTGGATATGTGTGCTGTGTGGCCCTGGAGGCAGAGCCAAGAGAGCCGGGCTGTCTGATGGCACTGCTGGGCCACCCCTGGCTCGGCTGCCCCTCATGAAGAGAAAGAGCCCCCTAGATGGGAAACCTCTCTTAGTTTGTGCAGGAGGACGCTGATACCCCATCTGATTTTACTGTCACTCCTTGAAGTCTCCACGCACAAGCGAAACGTGAAGGACACAAGAGGGTTAAGAACTACAGGAAGCGTTTGAAAGACTCCTGAACTCTCCCAAGGATGGCACAGAGCTACCACTATCCTACACGCACAGAGGGAAGCAACTCCTCCCCATCGAGGGCTGGCTTGTGGCATTCCGCCTCTCTGCTGGAACCCGAGAGGAAAACGGCTTCCTTACTTCCCCAGTGTTTAGCATCTAAAGGCAATGAGAGTTACGATTCAAATGCAAGACACACAGCTTCCAACTGCTGGCAAGATAACGCGGCTTGGCTTTAATCCCGCACTCTCTGGTATGTCTTCCCTGCACTCTACTCTTTCGGAAGGCATTCTGGTTGTACCTCATACCTGCCAAGCTCAGCCACTTCACTGTAGAAGGAGTCAAAGTTGTCTTTCCAGGTCACCATGATCCCATCCATCCCTGGACCTGCAAGAAGAACAGCACCTGCCTGAACTTGTTTCCCGTGGAGCTTCTTGGGTAAGAAGGCTATCGCCACGCACTGTCCCTCACAGCAGCTGTACATGGCCCCCCGGCACCTGCCACATGGCTCACAGGAGTGGAGATGTGGTGGGTGCATGAAGGACACACAGACACTGGGGCTTAGTGTGAAGGAAGAATGCAAAATATTTCACTAATAATTTTTCAAATTAAATACATGTTCGTAAAAGCTGCTTTTACTTTTATTTTTAAAATGTGTTTACTAGAAAAATCTAAACTTGCACATGTGGCCTCTTTTTGCTTCTACTGGACAGCACTGCTACAGATGGTCCTCCCTGTTCACCTGGCTGCACTGCCTCAGGGCTAGGCTGTTCTCTCCTCCCCACGCCTCCTTTCACAGCCATGCGAGATCAAGAGTCCACAGTATTCACTTAACGTTCACAGAGTTTTACATGGTTAATAAATCATAAATACACTACAAAGAGAATTTTATTAGGAAAGTGCCAACTGTAAATCACCTGTTAGTAATGAATCCTGTGTACACGTCCACAGGAACAGAAAGCATCCTTTCTAGAGTCTTCCTGTGAAAAGAAGCACTAAGTGGGGGAGCCCCACGTGGCCCCACTGCCAGGCAGCCCCTGGGAAGCACAGCTGCCACTGTGATTCTAAGCCTCCATGGGAGGCTGGCCCTCCTGACCCAGCTCATCCAGCCTCCTCTCCCCACTTAGTTCCTCTTTCAGCCCGCTCACCTGACCTGCAGTCCAGCCCAGGCTGAGCATCTGTCCACCCCTATCCTCACCTGGGCTTCTTCACCTCTCCCCAGGTTGTCACTGGGAATGTGTTTCCTTAAACCATGTCCAAGCTGACTTGTCTAATCGGGCTCCTCGGGGTGGCGGCCACCTCCTCCACGTGCCTTCCCTGACTCACTCATGGCTGGAAATCGTCTCCTTGCATAGCAGTGGGCAGTCCCGGTGGGTGCCATGTGCTGCCAGCCAGCACAGCTGTCACAGGAGCGCTGCTGACCACTACATGACTATAAGTGAACCCATGTCTGATCCACCTTTGCAGCCTCCCAGAAACCAGAAGAGTGCCTGGCACACACAAAGCCCCAAATCTTCACCGAAGGACACACGAGAAGCAACAGTCACTTCAATCACGCAAACCAAAGGCTACGTTTCATTCTGCAGTCTTTTTTGTTAATGCTGGAACATTTGCACCCCTTTAAAGTGCTTTAGAAATGGTAAGGCTAATTCTGACTGTGTAGGTGAAGGAGTACTGACAGAGAATCATTAATCAAAATAAAATTATTTCACTAGGCAGATTTGAAGCATCTACCAAATCACATTAAAAAATACTGGACTATTATTTACATAAAAGTATTTTTTCTTCTTCTTTTTTTTAACTGAAAGGGCTTGTCTTTTTTAAATAAACATTTTTATTCGAGCATTACATATATACAGAAAAATGGACCAAACATAAATGGCGACTCGGTGCCCACTAACCAGATCCAGAGACAGAGCACCACAGTGGCAGGTGCTCCCCGGCTCCTCTAAAACACACCTTCCTTTCTCCCTGGTTTTTTTTTTTTTTTTTTTTTTTTTTTGAGGCCAGGTCTTGCTCTGTCACCCAGGCTGGAGTGCAGTGGTGCAATCTCAGCTCACTGCAACCTCAACCTCCCAGTGGCAAGTGATCCTCCCACCTCAGCCTCTAGAGTAGTGGGACACACACTCAGCTAATTTTTTGTATTCTTGTAGAGATGGGGTTTTGCCATGTTGCTGGTCTCCAACTCCTGGGCTCAAGCCATCTACCCGCCTCGGCCTCCCAAAGTGCTGGGATTAGAGGCATGAGCCACTGCCCCCGGCACCCTTTTCTCATCAACAGAAGCTTCGGCCCTGGCTGGTGGCATGACAGGGCGCTCTCTGGATGATTCTCTTGGACACAGTTTGGGGGCCTGCACATGTCCTCAGGGTGCAGAGCCAATGCCTCCAGCCTCAGGACTCCCTCTCGTAGCCCAGACTCTGACCATCTCCCTGCCTTGAGCCGGAGCTGGGCTTAGAAGAAGCCTTTGTTTCCTGAGCATCTGAGAACTGGGGCTCTGCAAGGCAGCCAAGGCTGGACAGAATGAGGGCACCCACCCTAGCTTGTGGGGGCAGGAATAGCCTCAGGCGGACAGGAGTGGAGCCATGGGTAGATTTAAAATAAAACACAAAATTACTGATGCCTGCAAACAAAGTGGCTTCTCTCAGAGAACAACTGGAAATAGTTAAGATCATCTTGGAATAGTCCACGTAATTCTTCTGAAAACCTACGGTTGCAGCTGAATTTGTGTGACAGAATTAACCATATACTTGGATTATTTTCCCATTTGCATTTCCAGGGTATGAAGTCTTATTATTATTATTTTTTTTTTTTTGAGACAGAGTGTCACTCTGTCACCCAGGCTGGAGTGCAGTGGCATGATCTTGGCTCACTGCAACCTCTGCCTCCTGGGTTCAAGTGATTCTCCTGCCTCAGACTCACGAGTAGCTGCGCCTACAGGAGTGTGCAACCATGCTGGCTAAATTTTTGTATTTTTAGTAGAGATGGGGTTTCACCATGTTAACCAGGATGGTCTCTATCTCCTGACCTCGTGATCCACTCACCTCGGCCTCCCCAAGTGCTGGTTACAGGCGTGAGCCACCATGCCTGGCTGAATAGTCTACCTTTCTAAAGTCCTTTAGCTTTTGCTAGTGATTTATTAAAAAAAAAAAATCACCTGTGTAATTTCTGTGTTATTTAAAAATTAGAAAATCTTTACTTTTTATTGTTTACTGCCAAATTACTAGATTTTAAAATTTCTTGTTCCATGATCCAAAAAAATCAGAACTTGTTTTCTGATTTACTGTTGTTAAAAACAGGAAATTAAGATACCTGGGACAAAAGTTCTAAGACAAATTCTGCTTACTGTCTACACACAGGGTGCTCTGGGACTCAATCGATCTTTTATTTGGGGTTTGATTTGTCCTCTGGAAGCAGCTCCATTTGTGGTGCAGCTGGAGGATGGACAGGAACCCTCAGAGCCCAGTACTGCATGGCCGGCCTTCCGCAAGATGGCAGCAGAGAGCAGTCCACGCCTTTCTCAGCAGCTATCTACATCAGGCAACTACAGAGCATTTTGAAAGGGCCTAAGATATGGGTTCTGCCCCAAGGAGCTTGCGGTTTAGCTGAGGAGAGAGAACAAGGTCTTCAGACCAGAGCAAGCAGGCCCCATGGCATAGGCCTCCTAGCCAGATGCTCTGGACAAGCTGCTGAGCAGCCCTGGGCCTGGTTCCTCCTGGACAGGGTAAGGAGGGGGCGCATCCACCCAGAAGGGTTGCTGTTAGGGTCTCAGAGGGCCACAGTGCCTGCGCAGGCCCGGGACCCACCCACATCTCCTTTCCTGCTTTTCCCATGCCCATTCTACGTGAGACCAACCTAGACCAGATCCAGATTCAGCTGAGTAGCTGGATCTGAGCGTTTTGAGTACTAAGAGCACGGAAAGCAGCCTGCCCCAACTCAGAGGCTGGTCGGAGGGGAGGGGCCCTGGTGCCCCATGGTAGGCAGCCAGAGGCCTTCACCAGCCAGGCCCCCATCCTCCTCCCAGCAACAGGAGCTCTGGTGTCTCCCCCCACCTTACATAAGGTGCCGAGAGGTCACTCTGCTGTGCCACCCCAGACACTTTGGTCTGCTACTTCCAATTCTCTTTTGCAGCCCCACAGATGACTTATTGTTCTATCTGTCAGGCCACATGGAGTGCGAGGGCAGACTCAGGACTTCCGGAGACTCCTGGAAGACGTGCCCCACTGGGTCACGTAGACTCCTCATAGCACGGTGCTTACCTAGGACCCTCAGGCTGGCCGACGATGAGGCTGAACCCATGTCATTGACAGCGATGCACGTGTAGATGCCGTCATCTTCTGTGGTCACGCCCACAATCTTCAGAGTGGCCTCTCCCAGGTCGCTGCGGCACAGATGGGAAAACACTGAGCGTGAGAAAAGCTGAGCATGTGGCCATCAGCGCTGGCCTCCTCCTTCAGGATCAAGGCAAGGCAGGAGCTCGAGTGCTGATGAGGAGCTGTACACCCAGGCGTGAAATGTGCTCTCAGGGAAGAAGTGGAGTGCCGAAGGCGGCCAAAGAAATCTATCCGTGAAGGAGGAATTTCCAGTTGCCAAGAGACAAGATGGTGCTCCCAGCCAGCGAAACCCACCAGGAGTGGGCCTCCCTCACCTGTAGGAGATGCTGTAGTGACCATCGTTGTTCAAGGTGTTGTGTTCAGGGCCCTTCCAGGTAATTGAGGCTTTGGGGCGGCCACAGACTCGACATCTAAGAACAACGGTCTCCCCTGTCTCACACGTGACCTCACTCAATGGAATGACGAATTCTGGGGGAACTGCACGGGAAAGGAGTTGGTAAAGGCCCATCAGTCCCGGCTCCTCCTCCACACCCACCCACATGTCCCCGACAGACTGATAGGACCTAACCTGCTCTGCACGCCTAGAGCGCCACGGAAAACCCATTTCCAGAGGCCACACGCAAGTACTCTGAAACATGCCCCATAGATCTAGAATCATCTCTACGACTACGAGAAAAAGAACAGAACTCACCGTCATAAATGTAGTTGGGATTGAGAAGCTGAAATGGAAACAGCAAACAAGCATTAACTGAAATCAGCTACTTTAAGGTGTATTACTTTCATTCCAGGGCTACAATTATTGTTGAAAGACTTGTAGAAATTGACTTGCCTGGGCATCAATCAAAACAGACCACGTTTTTCACTGCACTCAAAAGCTTCATGCACACTAATTTGGGTGGGTCTTTTTCTTCCTACCCACAAACACAAAAACACTGCTTAGATGTGTGTTTTTCTCATGCTACAGGCTGAGTCCAGCTGGTCCTCAGATGCCTTCCTAATGCAGAGCCACCAACGCCCTGGCTCCTGGCGCTCAGAGTCCCTTTCAGGAGATACCTTCTTTTTCTCCAGGCAACCCCTGCCGCAGGTGTCAGGCAATCTGATTACAGGACTCAAGCTGACTGAAGTTGTCCCCAGGGGAATCTGTCACAGCCGGGGAGCCCATATGCGCCCCCACATGTAGCCACTTCCCCTCTGCTCTAAGGCAGGAACACCGAAGGAAGCCTGAGCCATAGCTTCTCTGCATCTCCGCTGTTTCTGAGAAGCTAGTCTCTGTGCTTCATTTGCAAACCTAACCATGTTCTTTATAAGCCACAGGTGTACCTGCGGAAGTGTGCAGGGGTCTACCTGGTTCCTTGTAGGACTCACCCATCCCTGTGCCGGCCAGCGTAGTGCCCCTAACAAGACCCTACAGGACACACAGGGCACAGGGCTGGTGGGTGGGAGGGAGGTCATAAGCAAGCCCAGCTTCAGGTCTGCAGAGTCTCTGCCCTCCCTGATCCCTTCTCATGCTGGGATGACACGGGCTCCTGAAGACCCCCGAACACACCTTCACAGATACCTTGTTGCTGAGTCCTTCCCGTGACTTCCTATAACCGTTCTCTAACTTGCCTTCCCTTTTGCCGTCTTTATCTTTTTTCTCAGATTTTTTCCTTAAACGGAGTGCTGTGTGCCAAGATGTTGACTTCCTAGGGGAAAAGAACACATTGTGGGTATTACGCCTTTCCAACATTCACCAAGTGCTACCTGGAAGTGTTAAAGAAAAGCGGAATATTCAACTTATATGTGTGCACGGGGATGGGAAATCCTCTACGAACAGTGACCTCTGTTAGAGAAAATGCTCCTGTGATTCTCCAGAACCAGGAGATAAAACCAACAATCTCTTCAAGTTTGAGGATGAAAATATAAAGGTGCCTGTGATAACTGATTTTATGTGTAACTTGACTGGGTCACAGGATGCCTAGATATTGGTTCAAACGTTATTCTGGGTCCTCTTGTGAGTGCTTCTGAATGAGATGAACATTTGCATGGGTCCAGTAAAGGAAAGTGCCCTTTCTAAGGTGAATGGCCCTCATCCTATCAGTCAAAGACCTTAAGGGAACACAAAAAGTCTGGTCTCCCAAGCAAGAGGGCGTTCTCCAGCAGACTGTCTTCAGGCTCAGCCTGCACCACGTGCTCTCCTGGGTCTGAAGCCTGCTGGTCCACATTGCAGATTTGGACTTGCCAGTCTCCATAACTACGTGAGCTAATTTCTTATCATAAATCCATTTCTGGACAGGCATACCTTAGAGATACTAGGGATTCGGTTCCAGACTACCACAATAAACTGAGTCACAATAAAGTCAGTCACATCAATTTTTGGATTCTTAGTGCATATAAAAATTGTTTATACTATAGTAGAGTCTATTATGTCTGCAACAGTATTATGTCTAAAAAATATACACACCTTAATTAAAAACACTTTATTTGCTAAAAAAAAATGCTATCATCCGAGCCATCAGTGAGTCGTAATATTTCTGCTCGTGGAGGGTCTTGCCTAGATGCTGACGGCTGCTGACTGATCGAGGTGGTAGTTGCTGAAGGCTGGGGTGGCTGTGGCAATTTCTTTTTTTCTTTTTTTTTTTTGAGACAGAGTTTCACTCAGTCATCCAGGCTGGAGTGCAGGGCGCGATCTCGGCTCGCTGCAAGCTCTGCCTCGTGGGTTCATGCCATTCTCCTGCTTCAGCCTCCCAAGTAGCTGGGACTACAGGCGCCTGCCACTACGCCCAGCTAATTTTTTTGTAGTTTTAGTAGAGACGGGGTTTCACCGTGTTAGCCAGGATGGTCTCGATGTCCTGACCTCGTGATCCGCCCATCTTGGCCTCCCAAAATGCTGGGATTACAGGCTTGAGCCACCATGTCCGGCCTTTATCTTTTCTTTTTTTCTTTAAAAAAATTTTTTTTATTGTTTTAGTAGAGATGGGGTTTCACTATGTTGGCCAGGCTGGTCGCAAACTCCTGACCTTATGATCCACCCGCCTCAGCCTCCAAACATGCTGGGATTACAGGTATGAGCCACTGCACCCGGCCTGGCTGTGGCAATTTCTTAAGGTAAGACAACAAGAAGTTTGCCACCACTCCCCTTGTTACAAAAGACTTCCCTGCAGCATGTGACACTGACCGCATTATACCCAGAGTAGAACTTCTCTGGAAATTGGAATCAATCCTTTCAAACCCTGCTGTTGTATTATCAACTAAATTTATGTAACATTCTAAATTCTTTGCCAGCATTTCAACAGTGTTCACAGCCTTTTCACCAGGAGTAGATTCCATCTCAGGAGATCACTGTCTTCGCTCACCCCTAAGAAGCAGCTCCACATCTGTTCAAGTTTGATGATGAGATTGAAGCTCTTCAAGCCACATTTTCAGGCTCCACTCCTGATCCTATTTTTCTTGCTGTTTCTGCCACATCTGAGTTATTTCCTTCACTGAAGTCTTAAAACCTTCAAAGCCATCCATGAGAGTTGAAATCAACTTCTTCCAAACTACTGTTAATTATAACATTCTGACCTCCTCCCATGACTCATGAGTGTTCTCCATGACATCTGGAATGGTGACTCCCCTCCAGAAGGTTTTCAGTTTACTTTGCCCAGATCCACTGGAGGCATCACTGCCTATGTTAGCTATGGCATTACAAAATGTATTTATGTATTTCTTTTTCTTTCTTTTTTTTTTTTTTTGAGACAGAGTCTTGCTCTGTCGCCCAGGCTGGAGTGCAGTGGCATGATCTAGGCTCAATGAAACCTCCACCTCTCGGGTTTGAGCAATTCTCCTGCCTCAGCCTCCCAAGTAGCTGGGACTACAGGCACATGCCACCACACCCAGCTAATTTTTGTATTTTTAGTAGAGACGGGGTTTCACCATACTGGTCAGGCTGGTCTCGAACTCCTGACCTCAGGTGATCCGTCCGCCTTGGCCTCCCAAAGTGCTGGGATGACAGGCGTAAGCCAGCATCCCCAGCCCAAAACGCATTTCTTAAATAAGACTTGAAAGTCGAAATTACTCCTTGATCCATGGGCTGTAGCACGGATGTTGTCTTAGCAGGCAAGAAAGGAACATGAATCTCCTTGCACATTTCCATCAGAGCTCTTGGGTGATCGGGTGCATTGTCAAAGAACAGTAATATTTTGAAAGAATTTTTGTTTCTGAGCAGTACGTGTCGACAGTGCGCTTAAAATACTCAGTAAACTGTGTTGTAAATACATGGTGTACAGATGTGCTGTCAGCCAGGCTCTGTTGTTTCATTTCTAGAGCACAGGCAGAGTAGGTGCCTCTGCCACAGCAGGCATTCCAGGGGGAGGAAGAGTTGTAAAAACCACCATCAAATTCAGTAAAATACTACTCAATGCAGCAAAACCGGCTTCATGTTTCTTAACTGAATTAGCCTTTTGGTATATAAGGTGTGATGATTAGCATGATTCTTAAGGACCCCAGGATTTTCAGAAGGGTAAATGCGCATTGGATTCAACTTCACGTCACCAGCTGCATTAGCCCTAACCCTTTTATGTTACAGCATTAGTTTTCCTTAAACCTCATGAATCAACCTCTGCTAGTTTGCAACTTTTCTTCTGCAGTTTCCTCATCTCTCTCAGTCGTTATAGAACTGGAGAGAGATCGGGCCTTGTTCTGGGTTGGGCTTTGGCTTAAGGCAAGGTTGTGGCTGGTTTGATCTTCTATCCAGACCACTCAAACTTCCTCTGTCTCAGCAAAGGCTGTTTCACCTTCTTACTATTTGTGTGTTTAGTGGGGTCGCACTTTTATTTCCTTTGCATTCACAATTTAGCTAACTGTTTGGTGCAAGAGGCTTAGCTTTCGGCCTATATTCACTTTTGACATGCCTTCCTCACTAAGCTTCTGGGTTTTGACTTAAAGTGAGAGACACATTACTCTTTCACTTGAACATTTAGGGGCCACTGCAGGGTTATTAACTGGTCTAATTTCGATATTGTTGTGTCTCAGGCAGGCCTGAGGAGAGGGAGACACATGGGGGAATGGACAGTTGATGGAGCAGTCAGAACACACATTTATTACGTTTGCCATCTTGTATGTGTGCAGTTCATTGTTCCTCAATACAATTATAATGGTAATATCAAACATCACTAACTACATATCACCATAACAAATACAATAACAAAATGTGTGAAATATCTGAGAATCACCAAAATGTGACACAAATACAGAGTGTGAGCATACACTGTCGGACAATGGCACCGAGAGACTTGCTTGACATAGGGTTGCCACAAAAGTTGCGTAAAAAAGGCAATGTCTTCAAAGCACATTAAAGCAAAGCACACAAAAAACCGGGGTGAGCCTGTGTCTACGCCGACATCTCAGTACACTCCCTACTGGTCCTGCTCCTCTGAAGGACCCCGACTAATATGGGGACTGAGAATGTATTTCAGAGAAACAACGATAAGGGATATTTTCCCCTTAGGTTTCTTAAAAAGCAAAACAACAACACTTTCTTGAGTTATGACTAACACAAAAAGCTGTCAAATGGGATTCCTGAACAATGTGCTAGAACAGGCTATTTCTAAATGCAGATTATTCAAAGACCCTGTGAGTCTGAGTGTGTGAGATGGAAGGCCACCCATCTTCCCACGTGCTCAGAGCTGAGCCTGTACTAACATACCAGCGCGGCTCCCCCTTCCACATGCTTACCCCATCCAAGATCGTGTGCCTCATGGGCGCTGCGCCCCCTCCCTCTGCTGCCTGCCAGGCCACCGTTACTGTCAAGCACTCACTTGAGAGTCCCGTCGGGGTTCTCCACGATGACCGCACTGGTGTGGCCCAGGACAAAGCCCGGAATCCAGCCCTCGGCTGCGGGGCACTGGTCAGTGGCGGCTCGGAACACCAGAAACATGTTCTGCTGGTTGCTGGCCAGAATTTGAACGACCTCTCCTTGGTAGACGTTGATCTCATCCTCCTTCACTGCCGTGTAATCGTGTGTCACCAACATGGTGGAGATGTTGCTACTGCTGCTGCTTTCACTCTGCAGAGGGACAGAGGAAGACAGAGAAAGGCAGGGAGGAACTGAAACGAGACCTGATCACGTGAAATCCCTTGTCAGTGTGCCCCATGGCACCATGACCCTGTGCAGGGCTCACCAGGCCGGCACTGAGAAACTTTCAACGTTTCCTTTACCCTCTGGCTAACTGTGTGCATCTATTTCAATACCTGAAAATGCGATTTCTCTACAAAGCAATTTAGGGATGCTCTTAAAAAATTCACTGCAATAATGACTCTTTGGTTTTGGAAGCTCGTTGCTGACATGCTTAATCATTTCTACTTCTTCTCTTTAAAAAGAAGAACATGGAAACCCTGAACGTAAATCGATCACTATTCTGCTTGGATGGAGAGTGACTCTGCCTCCAGCGTATGAACTTGCTGGGTGTCCCTCTTAGGAGCTTGCATGACTCAAGTGTCCCCAAGGCTCTGCTGCTATGGGAACACATCACAAAACATCCCAGGGCCGCTCGCCACAGGTGCTGTGACTCAAGCTCTGGGAACGGATTCTGGTGTGGGATGTGTACCCCCACCCTTATGCCACTGCCCCCGTGGGACCCGATCTCTTCAGTCACAGGGCTGACATGCAGCAGGAACTCAGTATGTGGTGAGTGGCCCAGTCCATGAGGCAGGATTGCAATAGCAAGACAGAAGATTTCTTAAGACCCTACCCATGCCACACACAGAGTGGTGGCAGCTGCTGAGGAGAAGAAACACAAACGGCAGTGTTTGTCCCAAACTCCCAACTAGTGCGTGGCCTATGGTTCTGGGTGGAGAAGAAATGCAGATCCCCTGACAACTCCTGAAGCTGCATCTTGCCCAAGTCCCCTCTATCTAGTCAGGACGTGAGAAACAGCATCTGGCGCCTCGTTCCCGTGAACTTGTGCTCAAAGGCTTCCACTGAGGGTACTGTTGGGATGTTCATGGATTCCCAAGACTCCAAAGGTGCTAGCTGCTACTGGGCTCTCCGACGCCCGGGGCAGATCCCGGGTGAGTGCAGATGCAATCAGTCAGACAACCCTGCTCTACCGCCTTTCAGCCCTGGTCTACTGAGCCAGTATCAGGACATGCTGGAGCAGGTGGTGGACTGCTGTAGCTGGCCGAGAGGACCAGAGAGGAGAGACCTCTAGCCCTCCTCCACGAGGTCAAGCCTGAGAAAGTCAACACGCCAGCCACTGGGAATTCCAGGTGCCAGGGCTATGAATCTAGACCTGTGGTGCATACTTAAAACATGGTGGTGCTGCCTAGCTTCTGTTCCTTGTCTCTGCCGTGGAGGAGTCTGCTTCCTGTTCTTGTCCCTGTGGGTGCCCACTGGTTGCCTGTGGCCCCTCAGCAAAAAAGGATGCGGTACAGGGCAGGCTTTGGCTTGTGCATACTCATTTATGCATTATACTTTTAGCATGGACTTTAGTATTCTGACTTATATGGCAATGCTCAAGAGTTTTGACATTACAGAGCTAAATTTCCAAGAATATTTAAAAAAAAAACACAACTTCTGCAGCGTACCTGCTTTTGCTAATATACCAAGCTACAATCTCATAATTAGAGTACTTTGCTACTAGAATCATAACTATTAGTATTTTCTGAGCACCTCCTATGTACTAGGCATTTCAAAGTCTATCCTACTTAATTCTCACCACCACCCCCCCAGTGGGCGTGGTTATCAGTCTCTCAGAGTGGAAGGTCAGTGAGCTGGCACTGGCCACCTGGCCTGTGCAAGAAAGGCAGGACTAGAGTGACTCCAATGTGTGTGCACTTTTATTGCTGCCCAATAAAGGAGGCCAAAAGGCTAGACCACAGAGCCACAGGAAGGACTGGTGCAGTCATGGTTTGGGTTGATCCACATGCATGTCACTCCTGCTCTCAGCAGAGCTTTGCAGAAGCTGCACATCTAAAGGGAGAAGGAGGAGCCGGGCTGTGGGCTGGGCACAGCTGCTTGACTGTGACCACAGACAGCTTGACAGAAGTGGTCAAGGAGGAAGGAGGCCTTTGCAGATCTCCAGGGGGACAGAAGTGCCAATACGTGGGGGCCGGGCAGGGCTGCGGCCCCTTCTAACTGATATACTTCAGAGTCCTGGAGGGCTTTTTTTTTTTTTTTTTTTTTTTTTTGAGACGGAGTCTCCCTCTGTCATCCAGGCTGGAGTGCAATGGTGTGATCTTCCGAGTTCAAGCAATTCTCCTGCCTCAGTCTCCCAAGTAGCTGGGACTACAGGTGCGTGCCACCATGCTGGGCCAGTATTTTTTTATTTTTAGTAGAGATGGGGTTTCATCATGCTGGCCTCGAACTCCTGACCTTGTGATCCACCCGTCTCAGCCTCCCAAAGCGCTGGGATTACAGGTGTGAGCCACTGTGCCCAGCCTGGAGGGCATTTTTAAAGCCCCACTTCGGAGCTCTGGAGTCTTCCTGGGCCTCTAGGGCCTTTCTGTAAGGCATTTTGACTTGTCTGAAATCCTGTTCAGTGAGTTCCCTTTCCAGGTTCCCTGCCACATGAGAACAAGTGGGAAGAGGAAGAGAGAAAGCAAAGGCAACTTTCCCAACCTAAAGCTCGCGGGAACATGTGCCCTCTGCAGACTGCGCCTTGGCCTCAGAGAGCATTCGGGATGGAGCCAGGGTGTGGCCATTTTTCATGTCTTCTCATGAATGTCCAGAGAAGACTGGCATTGGCTCCTGTCTTGGAGCAGTTGAAGTGTTAATTTTGAAACACAGCCTCTGAAGTCTCCTGTGCTGAATGGGAATGTCTCCAGGCTATGATGAGCTCCAGATGCTAACTGGCAGATTCAGTGAGGGTCACAGCTATAAGGCCACACCTGAATATTGAGTATCCAACTAAGTGCTGATGGGTATAGCCCGTCACTGGGTTGACTGCATCTCCCCACCACCCCCCACCAGACTCAAATCTGTGCTCACCCACCTAGCATACTTGTCTACCTAGCATGCCCAACTTAACTGAAAGGCCGCCATGCTCTGCAGGACACAGTATGGTGGCCATGACAGCGGATGCCTACCCGGCCATTCAATTGTAAATAAATGTATTAAGACCCATTTGTTAATTTCTTCCCCAATTAAATATAGAGTTTAACAAAATACATAACAAAAAATAGTAGGAAAGGATAAGACCAAGTCAAACCAATTAAGGCATTAATAAGTCCAGAGGAAAGAGAAAGACATGCAAAAGCTAGACTTTTTTTTAATATAAAGAGAGACACAGACCCTTTTAGAGAAATGTATTTAAAAATTTATAAAGCGTTCAAACATACACTCATTAGAACAGTTCTATTCACTCACGCATGCCTTCAGGAAAGTGTTACGGGCCAGGCCATCTGCCCTGTAGGAAACAGGTGGGTAGGGCAGTGAGGAAGCAGGAAACAGAGGGAAAACCCACCACAGCAACCCTTGTGCTTGAGACGGCAGCATGAGTGATGGGCCAGAGGAGGCCAGAGCGCAGCAGGCCACAGGGACCGGCCCCAGCCTGCACTGCAGAGCCGCCTCGCCAGGTGCCCCAGAGCAGTCTCTGTCTTCCAGAGCAACACGGTGACGTAAAGCGTTCCCAGTGGACAGATTCTTTCCCCCCATTTTGTCATCTTAGTTTGCTTTGAGTTGCTGTTGGAAGTTTTCTTGAGGGAATGGTCTTCCCCAGCAGATGAGTCAAAAATGCCGCAAAGATAATTTAAGGCATAAAAGAGCAAAACCAAGCGATGAGCAAAAAGCTTAAAGTGTACAGGTTTCAATTTAAACAGGAGGTAGAGAGCAGGGAAAAGGACCCCTCCAAAAAATAGGTGCGTGAGGAAGGCAGAGGTTAAAAAAGAAAGTTCCAAGGAGATATTCTGCTGGTTGGAAACAGAAGAAACCAAAAGACGCTGCGTTGAGAAGGTTAATGATCGGCTTGCTCTTATTAGAAGACACGAACAAAGCAAGGAGTAGTTAGTAGCGCCATGGGCCAGCCTGCAGGAGGGTTAGCCCGGTCCCGGGTAGAGGCCGCAGCGGGCGGCGGAGAGCGCTGG